CCACAACACTCATCCATCGTCTGCTGTGTTTTTTTCATCACCACCTCCTCAACCACCTCCTTCTCCGCCTCAGCTGTCATGATACTCCTGCTCCTACCATGTTGATTTGATGTTGTTCTTGTATAAGATCTAGCTTAGCTCATGTTGTCGTTGAGTTTAGTGTATGAGTACGGGTTGATTCGGTCTATACTTGCTGCTTGTTTAAGTTCATGTTGGGTATAGTCGTTTCAAGTTCAGCATACATGTAGTTAGGTGAATCAGAGATAGAGAGATATCGGAAGTGTTGATGTTGAATGTTGGATGTTTGATGTGTCTGGCTTTCGTAGTAGTCACATTACCTTGTTTCTTCTATGTTTGTGTCTATTTTAACTGGACTAGCGGTGATGATGATGAATACCTAGGTGCCCAGACTTCAGAGCAGCCTTATCTACTGTATTTATCCACACTGCATCCCTCGTTTCACAGCCTTTTCTCTCTCTCTAACTCTTTCTCTCTCACATTCTCTCGCCGCTTGCTGCATGCCGTAGCTTCCAAGTCCCGAGGAGAATCAGAAAACGCGCTCCGAGAAGGAAAACGTCCCACATGTTTTTCTCGTGCGAAGCATTGCTCGAAATCCTCGCCGGCTCATATATACCGATATCTGAGAGTGCGCTGTGAGGAGGAAGGTGAGGGGGGTGCCGAACATGGTGATGGTGATAAAACCAACTCAAATTAACTAAGGAGTAGCTACTATCGTACTCAAGTGAAGACGGAACTGCAGCAGAAGGGAGTTTGGGGTTTCTATATCTCTCTCTGGTTTATCACTGGGTCCCCTCGAGGCCAAAGCCGTAGTTTACAGTAAAGTAGAATGTATATTATCACTGTATGATAGCGAGCGGAGACCTTGCAACCCGCGTTGTAATCCAAGTAGATAACTTGAAGGGATAAAAAAGTAAAAATACAACCATAGATACAGATACAACTACAGGTAAAAATACAAAAACGCGCTCCGGCTAAACACAAATCCCAACTCCAACAACAAGCCCCCACAGCCAATGCATTCCATCATCAACTCGAACTTAACCCCCATCACCCGCCATCACTCCATCATCCTCCTTCGATATCCCGATGTCCCACGCCTCCGGCTCACCCACCCCTCCCATCCCCCTCCCTATGACACACCAACCTCCTCACCACCCTCTTCACCTTCCCCTTCCCCTTCTTCTCCCCACAAACCCCCTCTTTATCCCCCTCCGCCCACTCTCTCGCATAACCAACGCCATCAACCTCCGTCGCGGTCCTCTCCTTGAGCCCACGATACAAGTCCTCATCATCAAGTATCACTCCATCTCCCCCACCCCCCCAATTCTCCCCAGCACTGGTAACATTACTATTAAAGTTCGCACCATCAAGGCTCGCAACTCTCGAATGCCGGTGTTTCGCGCGAAACCTCAGGCGACGCGATTTCTCGGTTCCGAGGAGCTGGAGCTGGGATTGGGGGGTGAAGGTGGTGCAGGGGATCGAGGACGGGTGGCGGAGGGTTGTGTTGCGGATGCTGTGGGGAGCGTTTGTTAGGTATTCTACTTCATTATTTCATTGATTTCGTGGATATACTGGCCGGGAGGGGAGGGAAGGGAAGGGAAGGATGGGATGGGATAGGATAATGGGGTAAACGTACTCAGAAAAAGGTTCGCGGAAACCGGTGTCATAGGCTCTGGGGCGCGGGCCGAGGGGTTTTGATAGTGGTGCTGCTGGATTTGAGGTGGATGCGAAGGAGGAGGAGGAGGGTTTGGAGGTTGTTGGAGTTGGAGGTACTGAGGTGTTTGCAGATGGCATTGTGGTGATCGATGGTATGGTGTAGTCACTGTAGTGGTATTTATCGAACCCAGCTAGGGGGCGGACGTATGGTACAATCGTTGCTAAACAGTCGTGCAGCTCTTCTGTAGCAGGCGGGCCTCGATAGCTTATCTGTATTCGGTGTTTCGTTTATCGTTGTCTCGCTTTATTGGAAAAGTATTATTCTTGCTGTAGTCCTCGTAGTATATATCAATCCAACCCCCTCCCCCAACCCATTCCCACCAGACCCTTAAATCCCCCAACCATATCGCCTCCCGGGCCGCCAGGACCCGCCAGGACCCGCCACGCAATCACCATTGGGCCGTCCAGTGTCTCTAATTCCCTGTCTCTCCCCACAAAACCGTGGGTGTACGCGTGTCCCGCCGGGTATCTAGACCCTGAAAAAGGCGTTGTGGTGCCGTGATGCAGGTGATGACGTCGCCGATGCCGATGGGCTGCGTGGTGGTGGTTACACAGTAACGTTGCGGTTTTGGGATGGATGGGCTACGACTGGGAATACTGGGAAAAGGAGGAGGAGGAGGAGGAGGAGGTTGAAACTGGATTTGGGGATTGAAACAGGGATTGTTGACTGGAATTGATATTGATACGTACGTGTATAGTAAATTCTTGGTTTACATGGTGATAATGATGAACCTTTATCCTCCAGAGCCTATTTCAATCAACCTAGTCTGTTCACGTTATTCACCTAGCCCTCTCCCGTCCACTCCCTCCTCTCGCTCCACTTCCCGAATCTCCACCTCCCTCTCCACCCTCTCCTCAAACTCCTTCTCCCCTGCCACACACCCCTCCTCCTCCTCCTCCTCCTCCTCCTCCTCCCCCATTTCCCCCACCTCCACCACCACCTCCTCGCCATCCACCACATCCTCCCCCAGCACGCTCCTCAAAATCCGCTGCATCTGATACCTATACTCCAAATGCCCTCCCACACTCTCCGTAACATCCACATTCTCGACCCCCTCGACCCCCTCGACCCTCTGTAGCCCCGCCACCCCCCTCTTCCAATCTGCTGTCCGATACAAAAACGCGAGCACCCAATCCCTTTCCGCAAACACATTCACGACCCTCCCCGCTGCGACCGCCCGCACTTCCCTCCATCCCTCCTCCTGGTGCGCAGGCACCGGCGCACCGATGAAGACAACGTTTTCGATGATGCCGAAGCCGGATTCGTGGCGGGAGAGGAGCCGGCAGCAGTCGAAGATGACGCTGGAGCCTAGAGAGAAGCCGAGGAGGGTTATGGGGCGGGAGCCAAAGGGGCGGCTGAGGAGGTGGTGGGCGAGGAGGTGGCCGGTTTTGTGGGCGGCGCGGAGAGAGGTGCTGAAGGGGTTGTCGACGAGTTTGGAGGCTTTGAGGAGGGAGAGAGGCCAGAGGGCGGAGGAGAGTGTGGCGAGAATGGTTCTGTGAGGAGGGGGTTAGCTGGTTGGTCTGTGAAACTTCATGGAGGGAGGGATGGAGATGATTATAATGACTGTGATTATGGTATGAACACACCTTCTAATAATTTGCTTCTTCGCCCACCCCGTCGCATACTCCCTCACCATCGTCCCCGCTGCCCTCCCCAACTCCACCAACCCCTCCGTCTCCCACCTCACCGCCCACACCTCCAACCCGCCACCCACCACCCTCCACACCCCCACCACCTCCCTCTCCACCTCCTCCTCCACCCACCCCGTCACCCCCACCGCAACCCTCAACCTCCCCTCCTCCCCTTTCACTCTCACCAACCTAAACTCCCCCACTTCCTTTACATAGCGCTCCGCAATCTCATTACTCCTCCTCGCACCATACACGCCGAACAGCGCACCCACGACGGCGGTCGAGGAGGCGGCGGTACCAAGGTATGTTGCGATCGCGGTTGCGCCCAGGCCGAGGCCGCTGAGGATGCTGGAGACACCTGCGGCGACGAGGGGCGTTGCAAGCCCGCCTGTAACGCCGATTAGGGCGGCGCCGGCGAGGGTCACGAGGGGGATCGTCCATTTACTTGATGCAGACGCGGTGACTGGGGCACCGTGGCCGCCAGTGGCATGTTTTTTTTGTTGTTCTTGTTGCGCGGCCTCGAGAAGGCCAATAGCGGTTGTGGATTCAATGATGGAGAGCGTGGAAGCGGGGAGAGAGAGCGCGGAGGTGATGCTGAGGAGGAGGATGCGGGAGCGGGAATCGTAGGTGTGTAGGGAAAGGAGGAGGAGGAGGAGGGCGGCGAGGAGCTTTTGTTTTGTGGGCTCGGGGAGGGAGGTTAGGGGTGGCGATGATGATGATGATGATGATGATGGGTCAGGTTTTGTGGAGCTGAAGAGATTCGTTGCTTTTGCGGTGATCGAGGATCCGCGTTGTGAGGATTGCTCGCCGGAGGAGTCAAGTGCTTCGTGGAAACGTGAGAGTGCAGAATCTCGCCAGGTATCGAAGGATGTGAGAGCATTGGTTTTGAGGTCTGCGGTTGAGGAGGTGGGGAAGATTTGGATGATGTGGGCGCGGAGGGTTGCGATTGATGCGGAGAGGAGGTCGAAGAGATCTTGACGCTGAGAGGGTGTGAGGAGCGTTGTGAGGGAGCTGTCGGACATGGTAATGATGTTGAGGAGACGGTGTACTGAGAGCTTTGGAGAGCTTGAGGGAGCTTGAAAGGGATGACGTCAATTTGCGGGGCTTCGTGCAGATCAGGGTCTGTGATGGAGCATGGAGTAGGTTTGGTGGAACAAGTAAATATTGTAAGGATTGAAAATCATAGCTTGGAATGCATCATTAGTATTTCAACTGATACTCTCTCTCCCCCCCCCTTCAATCCCATCCCATCGATTGATTGATTGATTGATATCATTTAAGCGCATGCATCCCTTTGGGATATGGCGCGTTCTCCCATCCCATGATTGATTGATTGATTGAATTCATTTAAGCGCATGCGTCCCGTAGGGATATGACGCGACAACTACTCTCCAAACCTCCTCCCTCCCCCACCCCATTGCTTCCATTACATTGGTTTATTCCATACATTGGTTTCGTCCACTTTCAACCCTTGTTCTCGCCATCCCTTCGCCCTGGCGAGGGATGCCATTTGAGTTGAGCTCTAGTTCCGGCTCCTTCTCTCCTCTTTCACCTCATATTCTCCCATCCCATCCCTCTACCTACTCCACACCCCCTTACAACCCTGCCACTCTCTTCATCACCATAACCAAGCGCCAATAGCTCAGTTGGGAGAGCGTCAGACTGAAGTTTGCCATCCGCAAAACCGTCTTTGGTCCTCGAGTAACATCGATAATCTGAAGGTCACCCGTTCAATCCGGGTTTGGCGCATTGCTTTTTTTCTTTCTTTTTTTTTCCGGAGTGTTTTGGAAGTCTTGATTTTCAGTGTTATTTCGGGCCGAGTTGTAAAAGGTTGTAGTACAATATGGCAAATGCCAAAACAAGAAAGAAGATGGGAGGCGAATGAGAAAAGATGAATGAAGCTGAAGAAGAAAACTCACGAGTGAGAGACAAAACTACTGACTGTACCATAAAAAAACAAGCAACCAGAGTACACGAAAGGGATGATTTAACTCGACCTAACCCGTCTTTCTCACTCGCTCTTTTAAACCAAAAAAACGAAAACAGAGAAGAAACTAAACACTAAACACAGATATATATAAAATAAACTCCCGAAACGCCACATAAATGTTCCATCCCACTGCCCCGTCTGTCTCCATCTTCATCAGAATCTCCGTCTCTGTCTCCGTGACTGTCTTCCCCCCAACAACTATGGTCCGTATGGTATATAAAAAACTTCACCACCCAAACATCAATACATCCCCCCCCCACTTCGATTCTCTCACAATTACTCATCCCTCTACACCGCCGGCGGACTCCTTGTCGGCACCGGTTTCCGCTGTATAGTCTTCTTCTCATTTGGCACCAAAAACGCATGGATATTCGACACCGCGCTCAGGCTCGGTGCGCGGCCGACTTGGTGGTGGTGGCGTGTCCCGCTGTCTTCTCCGTGCTCCATTGCTCCCATTGTTCCTTCTGCTCCTACTCCTCTTGCTACTCCGTCTCCGTCTGGTTCTGCTACCCCCCTGCCTCCGCTGGTGCCTGTTCCCCCGGAAACCTGCTGTGATGGATGTACTTGCGATTCCAAATGACCGCCAACCCTCGCCCCATCCCCTCCAGCTCTGATACTCGAGTTCACGGACCTCGGCAAACTTTGCATCCCGCGATGCGCGAGACTCACATTCTGGGATAGGCTGACGCGGTGGGATAGCCCCAGGGTTTGCGCGATGCTGCCTCTACTGTTGTGTCGCCCTTTGCCCTTACTCCCGTGCCTCCTCTCCCGTCTACTCCCCCCGCCGGACGCCTGGAACGATCCCATTCGTGAATCCATCGGGCTCACCGGAGACAACGCGTCCAACGCATCCAACGGCCCCTCCCACGACAACCGTGATGAAATTGGTGAGGGGGGCTCGATCTGAGGCGGTGGGGAGTAGGTCCTGGTTGGTGGGGGAGGGGGGTGAGGTGGCTCGATGATGCGTGGTGGGGGAGGAGCGATGAGCGGGGTGCCGTGGAATGAGGTGTGGGAGGAGGAGAAGGAGGGGCATGGGCGAGGGGTGGAGGTCGCGCGGATGAGGGAGGTGCGGACGGTGGATTCGTCGGGTAGTTCTGAGCCAAGCAAGTTAGCCATCTACACCCGAGTATTAGTGAAGGGGGTGAAAGAGACGTACTCTCGTTATCGTCGATACCGTCCCGCTCCTCCTGAGCAACCACAATCTCGTGATGAGATTTCCTAAACTCCGCCGACGACAGCGGTGAATCATCCCCTCTGAGTCCGCCGCCATCCTCATCGCTGCGAATCAGCATACTACTCGGTAACCGACTATCACATCTCCTATGCTTCCGATACGTCCCCATCCGCTTCTGCCGTCTCCGGCGATACCACAGCCCCCCAGCCACCAAAATCGCAGCACCAAACACTCCTCCCAAAACCCCGCCGATAATCGCGCCCTTGCCCCCATTCTTCTTTCCCACATTTTCCGCGTCGTCGATGTTAAATATCGTCGCTGGCAGCGCAGTCACAGTCGCGCGGACCGTGTGCTCAATCGTCGTCGTCGCCGCCGGTTTTCCTCCACCACCACCAGGCGTAACCACCGCGGATCGTGTAATCGTTTGACCCGCGTACTCAGTCACCCACAGTGTCGACACTGTCGACCGTGCGATCTGGCGTCTCAGAACCCGCCGTTTTCGGTCGCCTGGCACATACCCGTGTGCAGCTTGGGTCGGCAGCGGGATGTCCGCGGGGATGCTTTGCCGCTGCGGGCCGGTTCCAGTCGCGGTTTGCGCATCCGCCGCGAGGGTGGTCGTGATGGTGGTTGTGACGGTGTTGAAGACTGTGACCGTGTCCCCGCTGCCGACGGCGGAGGCGGTGGAGGTGATGGTGAGGGTGGGCGTGATGGTGGTCGTGCGGCGTTCGAGGAGGATTAGTGGGCTAGGGAGGCCGAAGCAGAGGTAGATGGCTTCGATGCAGAGGTTGCCGCAGCAGATGTTGCTGGTGCAGGCGAGACCGCACGGGGTGCCGTTGGGAGGGGGTTCGACCCAGGTTTGGCGGCGGTGGAGAGGGACGGAGGTGGGGGAGGGGGAGAGATCGGAACAGGTGATGGTGTTGATGAGGGCTGCGAGGATGGTGAGGAAAATGAGGAGCCGTGGTGGTGATGGTGATGATCTCCCTCCACTCAGCCCTGCGGAACTTCTTCGTCGATCCCCCATCCTCATCGTCGCGATCCTGTTCTCCTCTCCCTTCCCGTCGTCGTCGATTCCTTTATCCTCGCTGCCTTTATCGTCGTCGCTGTGGTCGCTGTCGTCGTCGTCGTCGATATACCCTTCGTGTCCTTCCGTCTTGCCTCAATCTCAATCCAATCCACTTTTCCTTAACTCCCAGGGGGATCCGCATCTTCTTGTATCCTGTCCCCTCACCAGCCACCACAAGGCGACACTCACCTACATATGTATAACCTAGTTTAACATTACATCTCATGCCTGCAGCGGCGGCGGCACACACCCCAAACTCGCTATCCCGCAGCCTGTTGCCGTAAGGAGCGCTTTTTGCGTGGTTTCACCGTATGTATGTAGAGTACGTAAGTATCATTTGGTTGGCATAGGCACACAGGTTGAGGGGTGAGGGGTATGTACCCTCTATGCGGGATGGATGGATATTGGTGCGGATACAAATAGTAGCAGAATGATGCACTGCCCGGGACTGGGCTGGGGCGGCTAGGGTTCCGGTGTAGCATCGTGATGAAGGGGCTGAGGGCCTGAAGATTGTGATAAAACGGGAGCTGTGGGCCCCGGGCTCGTCGTTATTGATATTGCTGTGCTGGCTGTGTTGTTTCGGTTCTTATGATTGTTGTTGCATCTCTATCATCACAGTGGCTGCCTCAACGCCCACATCTCTGGCTGTCATCCATCACTGTCACCCATCACCCCTCATAGCGCTGGCCACCCACATTCCGTAAGACATCCAGTCCAGCAGCCCGGCTGTCACACTCCAGTCCAGACCGCCAGTCACGTCTAGAATCCCTTTCGCAGCATTCTCAGCGGCCCGTTTTCACCGAACTTCATGCACCACCACAACCTCTCTCAACTAGTGAATGGTGTTGTGTCTCCACGTCCGACCCAAGTCGCTCATCGCATTCACTGCATTCACTGCATTTACTGCGTTTACGGCCATGCGCTTGATCGCTTGATGTCGAGCACAGTATGTGAGTGTGCGGCACATCTTCCGTGTTACCGTCCGTATCCATCACTCTGCCAATGCCTTCGTCGTGTCGTTGTCATGTCAGAACACCTCCACTCCATCTCGCGGAGTGAGAGTGCGTGAGTGCATCATGAAGTTTAGTTCGTTGGCGTATTATCGCAAAA